AGACCTACTCTACAACTTTTACTTAATAATTAAAATTAGTTTACTTAATATAATTTTTTATAAAATTAAATATAAAAAAAATTTACCATAGATTTATATATAATTTTAAAATACTTGCCCCTACCCTTAATATGTACAAAGATCTCTGCTATCATTACGTACATGTTTTTGATTCGTATTAAGTATATATATAAGCCGAAATTAAAAAATAAACATCATTACAACTAGACTTAATGATTCCTTATTCGAGATCAAATGTCTATTCGAATATTCACGGAACGACTACTATCATTTGAATAAATAAAATAAGTTATTCGAATAATATCCAATTATTAAAATTTCACATGACAAATAATAGAAATTATTTGAATAAAATTTATTATTCGAATAAGTTTTTTTTTTTATTTTCATTATTTGTCAAATAATGATTATTTAGAAAAATTTCATTCGAATATTTGTAGAATATTGATCGAATAATGAATACGAATAGTTATGATCTATCTGTTTATACAGATATCGTTATAATAGAATCGTGTATAGGAGAGACATATTTATTACCGTTATTATATGTTAATAAATTTAGGTGAATTATATGAATCAAATGAGTCATGAAAATGACATTGGTAAATTATTTTAATATGAACTATTATTTCGTACGATCCCAAAGATCCTACGTATTACATTGAATCATATTATGACATAGGTCAAATAAATGTGAAAGATCTAATTTTCTGATTTAGGTAATGATTCTCTCACACCATCATCGAGGATCGCACTCATAGGAAAATAAAGGCAACAAGATAAAGAACCATGCCTACCATAATACTTAAAAATGACAGTATCGTACATTTTTACGATATAACCATGACCATTCATTTTATGATGGCAACTTGGATTTAGATGAGGATATTGATAGGCACTTTTCAACGGAAAAATAACATTAAATGTGGACGATAAAGCTTTATCCTTCCACCAAAATGTCACTGAATCACCATTTAACTGAGAATGACCGTTTATTTCGGCACCGGTTGGGATATAATCTAGAGATAAGCCATCGACTAATTTATGAATAAAAGACAAAGATGTTAGTTTTATGATGAAAAAAAACGGTTTAATAATAATTGAGTTATAAACTTTACTTTGAATAGTCAAAAGTGTAATAATCAAGATGAAAACTAAAGTTTTCATGTTAAGAAGTAGTAGTAGAATTTAATGATATCAAAGGAATGTACAAGGAAATACAAAGAATGTGTTGCGAGAATTCCAAGGAATGTTGCGAGAATTCCAAGGAATGTTGTGAGAATACCAAGGAATGTGTTGGGAGGATACAATAGAACTAAATCAGAAAATGTGTATATATACTGTATATTGTATATGCACGGCCAAATAGTATACAGTATATGACAATATTGGTTATTATTAACCGTAATTGATATGGTGCATGAGAAACAAGAATATATGTTTTATTACCTTATTTCTAGAATATGGTAATTTATTTATTCAGCAATGCAATCATTTTTCACAACATCCCTGCAAGCACTGTATATTACATGTAATGTCATAAATTAGAGCAGCAGCAGCGTTGTTAAATTTTGCTTCCAGTAGAATTTTATAGCCTTCCCAGTGGAACTTCTTAATAGTAAAAGTTCTAGTGGTACTTCTTGATAGTAAAAGTTCTAACGGTACTTAATAGTAAAAGTTCTAGTGGTACTTCTTGGTAGTAAAAGTTCTAGTGGTAATACTAATCTCGACTTCTAGTAAACTTCCAGTGACCTTTTATTGACAGCACTGAGCTAGAGATTATACCCGGACAGATATTATTATTATACGACTATAATAATTAAGAGCTTCGATACTATCGTGCGAAAATTTTGATTTATCTCCGGGTATAAATTATGCTTGCAAGACTAATAACGTCCAATAAAAACGAATACTTACCTAAAATCGGTTCAAAATACTTATTCGGATAAAGTTAATTTGGGTTTTGGATTTATACTCTGGGTACTGAATGCAGTGCTCTATGGTACCCAGGTAGACGGGCACAGACTTTACTAAGCATATATAAATGTTATAGAATACTATTAGCACTTCTGTTTGACTAATCAAAATTACTTATAAAAATATTTTTAATTAATAAAAATATGTCTAATAAATTTTAAGCATTAAGCATGTTACTAGCATCACAAATGTATAGATCATGCTAGGGATGGGCGTTGATAGCTCTTAATTGGTGTTCAAATAAACTGGGTCGGGCTGAGGGCAATTTAACTACATGACTTACAGGCTCGTCTAGTCTTGTAGTTCTGATGGTATGTTAACACTTTAACACATGACTAATTTAACGAAAGTGAAATTTACAGAATTCAATAATAGTAATCAATTATTATATTTTTAATAGTAGTTTGACTTTTAAAATAATATATGAAGCCTATCTAGACACTAGTAATAAGAATGATATTATACAAAATGCCAAAAAAGTAATTAAAATGGATTTATTTAATTAGCAAAATACGTATAAACTACTACTGTATTTATTTAAAGTAAATTGCAAAAAATTATTTTAAATTTAGTTTCAATATCTTTTTTATGCCAGTATGTACTATTAATGGTTTAATCAATTTTATCTTTTACTAAAAGTATTACTGACAATACTGAAGACAGTTTGTAATATTAAATAATTTTATGCTATTAAACTTAATACGTACAGAAAATTTGTTATTCTAGCAAAATTATTAAACCAATAGTTTGATTTTAAAGATTTTTATTTGTAAAATATACAATATAAAGATTATATAAAATACGTATTAAAATATAGTACTATATATAAGTAAGTACTAGAATTTAAATATTGTTATTCTGTAATATTTGAAAAATTATTTTGTAAAATGTATAAATTAATAAAAAATTTGATAATAAATTGTACATCTTTTTGTTAAATTATTTTTGCTTAAAATTTTAAAACCATTTATTAAAACATTTAGTTTTTATAACTTACTTTCATAAATTAATGATGCTTTTATATAAATTAAATATTCATGAAATAAAAGATGCTATTTACACTCTTATAACCAGTTACAACAATAAATGCTTTTTAAAATAATATATATTTTTTTGGCTTAAAATTTTAACAATTAATTTTTCATCTTGTTGAGAAGCTAAAAGAAAACTATTTTTAAAGATGTTTATTCGTAAACAATGTTAGATGATGGCCAATGTTATAACATTTTTTGATAAACCTTGGTCATATAATCATGATTTTTGGTCATAGGCCATATTGGTTAGATTAAACGCAAATAAATTTTCTTTACTATAATTCTTACTATATTAAGATAACATAAAGTCATCAACTTTCGTTATGATCAAATGAAATATGGCAGTCATATAGGTCATTTAAGGTACTGAAAATGTTGGTCGATGACTAAGTCATAGCATCATGACTTAATAATATGATCATATGGCTCTTTGATCATAGGCTATAGGTCACTAACAATGTTGGTCGATGACTAAGTCATAGCGATACATATGGCTCTTTGATCATAGGCCATATCGGTCATTAGGGATGTTAAAAGTCCGACTCGACTTCAAAGATTATTAAAATCTGGTCCCAAGTCAAACTTGGGACTCGACTCGCATTGCACATGCATCTTGAACATATATATAGCAAAAAAAAAAAAGAGTAATCATGTATACTTCGCATTTCTCTTCAATGCGAGTCGAGTCCCAAGTTTGACTTGGACCGGACTTTCATAAAAATTCAGCTCTTTGAACCGGACTTTTATTATCCTTACCGGTCATTAATCTTTGTCATAACCAATTAGGGTATTTACAATAGAAAAGGCCTAAATGCTATATATATATATATCGATATAGCATTTAGGCTCTTTACAATAGAAAAGGCCTGAATGCTATATATATATATCGATATAGCATTTAGACTGCAGAGCCCCTAAATGACGACAGGTCATAAGATCGGTCAACACTACCCGTAAAAAAATATCGATTTGATTTATATAAATTTGGTCAATCAGAATGCACTATTTGGTGTAACACGCAAACATGGGTTTCTGTTTGTTGATTGTCTACATTCCAGAAACTTACCGACAGTTCAGGTTGACCAAATTTGTGTTGTCCGGCCCAAATTATACATTTAATTTGCCTGAAGTGGTATTGTTACACCGTATTAAAAAATCAATATTTTTCCTGCTTGCTTAAAAGATTCACGTCTATCAAAGACGAAAAATGACAAACGTAAAGATTATCATAATTAAGAATAAAAGATTATACACTATCAAGTGCGCTAGGTAAGTACGAGGAAGTATATTTCAATATTTGAATACAGAAAAAACCATTGCTACAAATATGATATGTTAAAGGTAAAAAAGTTATTTGATTACAAATGCACACATGGTAACTTACATATCGATATATTGTATCTCAGAAACTAATTGTTTGCTCAAAATAGTATTCCGTAACAAAGACCGGTATTTTTAATGGTGAATAAATTACCGGAAACAAAACTCCGTTTGTTTTTCACATGCACTACACACTACAGCCAATAGCAATTTTTCAAACTCGTTACCTAAACCGATTTCGAAACCGATTCGGTTCAAAATTGATAATTTTTGAAAAACCTCTTTTGGTGATAAGCGCGTGTGAAGCCTATCGTAAATAGTTTTTTTTCTATATTTAATCATATATACAATTTCAGTTCGGAGTCCATTTTATGAAATACTATTTTCGTACTTTGATTCATTCGAACCTTTTTTGATAAAATCTAATCTAAATATAAGAAAACTTATAAATAATAATCGTAATCATAATCATAATGATAATAATAAATAAATATAATAGTAATAACAATGATAGTAATAATAGTAATAATAATAGTAATAATAATAGCATATAAAGTTTATAAAAAAAAAAAAATAGGTGCAAAACTATCTATGGCGCACGCTTATAAATACTTTACTATTAATGTTAGATATTTATAATTAAAAATTTTCACTATAATTAAGGATAAACTAAAAAAGGTTTCGAATTAATCCATTCGAAACCAAAGATGTAGATCAAAATGAAAATTTGGTAATATGTATCGGAAATTCTATACGATTAAAACGGTTTCATCAATTGTTTATTTTTGAAACCAACTTTATGAAATTTAATAAAACAATGTATTTAAGCAATCAAGAAAACATGCAATATAAATAAGTACATTCTACAATTTTGTGGAATTTTTCCAATAAAGAAATTTTTCCATTTTATTTCCCGAATCAAAGAATCTATCTATCTTAAATCTCGGAGTTTAATGCAATAGCTTAATTTAATACAGCATGAAAGATGCTTGGAAATAAAAAGTTGTGTCGGAATTGGTCTCCCGATATTGTTCATATCTCAATACGTAATTCGTACTATACTCGAGGACTTATCATTCGTACGTGAGTACGTGTGTACGTATGCGTGTACGTATGTGGTGCGTACAGATGACATAACCATAGCAACAAAAACTTTTACAGATTCGATGATCATGTTTTGATAGGATTAACCTAAAAAAGGATGGTTTTTTAAGAATTCTTTATGATTCAAAATACTTTTTCCAAACTATAATGTACGAACCATGTTGCTTTAGTATTGTGGATCGTTAGGAGAATTGTTTCCACTAAATTAAATTCAATGGCTAGTAATAAGCGTATACCCAAACTAAAGTGGCGCGAGTAATAAGTAACACCAATAATTATTTTAGACCAATAAAAATAAAGATTTTATTGAAATTAATTAATGATCTGGTAATAAAAGAATAATTTGAAACAATTTTTAACTTATAACGCTGGTATCACATCGTAATTCTGTATTTGTATTAGGAGAGTCGTACACAAAAAATTTTTTTAAACAACTAGAAAAGTACTATCCGCTTATATATCCCGTGAATTTAATAAGTATATATAAGGAATATAAGAGAATTTGTCGTTTAGAACATAGGTTTACATTCTAATGCGCTGTTAATCTAATGTTAATTTATTAAATTTATATCTTTGTATTCGTATTCTCTATGATTTAATATGCACACTCGCCACATAATGTTACACATCACAAAATGTTACACACCGCCACACTGCTCACTAGCCACACACAAAATCCACACAGATGTTTACACATAGCCGAAACTCCGGCGCATAAGAATCTGATGTTATAAATACAAGGCATTTATTCTTGTCTTCAGAAATCACCGTGAATAGAATTTCATAGTCCTTATTAAATAGAATATAGAGAGAAAAAAATTTACGGTTATTAATCAAAAAATGGTTCATTGCAAATTCATGGAAACAGTTAGTGATAATGGACGTGAACAGGATCTTTCAGTCGATTCTTCATCCAAAGTTTATTGTGAAGATTGTGATAAAGCAAGATCGAATGGCGGCAATCATATTGAAAATCAAGAAGATTTGGATCGCGTAAAACCTTCAACAGAGACACATATAAAATTGCCATTTCCACCAACAATTCTTCCAGAAGATTTAGTCAATGATCTATTGAAGAGCAAGTCTCAATCTCCAAAGATGTTGAATGAATTCTTTATTTATCGTAAAGTATTTGTTCAAGAACTTAGGAAGCAAAAACTCCGGCCTAAGATGACACGAGCATCTAAGCTGGCATCAATTTCATGGCATCAAGAGTCATCAAATGTTAAAAATGAATATAGAAGACTCGCACGAGAAGTTGAAAAACTTTATCAAAATGCCAGGAATGAAAGATTAAGATCTCAAAATAAAGAAAAAGTTGATGAACAAAATACAATTTTCACGAATCCTACAACTACTAATTCTACTATTGCAGTTTCTGATATTTTCAGTAACGGTAACGGTAATGATAACGATAAAATCGAGCCTTATTCACCGATCGAGGCAAAATCATGTACGTCATCAGGACAATCCACAAACACTAGTCCACACTTGCATAATACTACATTTGTGCCAATAAACGACTTGTATACACAATATACAAATACACAATACACACAATATGATCAGAATAACGTATATATGCCAGGCCATGATGGTAGCATGCATCTTTTGGACTTTTCAAATTCATTACCATATCCGAACCAAGCTACATCCTTTGAATTTGTTGAATTCGTTCCAACATATTCATTAGAACAAAATATTTTTATACAAGATCCAAAGGTTTTAAAATCGTATATGACAAACGAAAATTTATTGGATAACATTAGCGTTAATTCTTATACCAATATTACCGATTTCGCTTCAACATCTTTTCAATCGTTACCTGTTGAAGAATCTAATCTCGAACCAAATTTTATATTTTATCATCCTTATACTGAATATGAAATGATTTCGAATGAAGCAACATTTAATTCTTATAAATAAAAAAAAAAAAAAAAATCTGTTTTTTTTTAAGAATATTAGAATATGTAAATTTCGATAATTTTAAATAGTAATCAAATAATAATAAGCCTTTCTTCTTTATTAATTATGAATAAGAATTTAAGAATTCGTGAATTTTATTTTATTTTTTACTTAACCTAACCATGATTTATTTATTTATTTATTTATTTATATTACAATTGATAACTTATGCGTCTAGGTACATAAGATATAAATACTATGATATATGTGCTAGGAGATATACCACGATATACGCTACGCTATAATATACATTACGATACATATATATATACTACGATGTATATTACGATATATAACTACGCAATATATACGATATATACGATATATACATGATAGATACTATGATATATACTATGAAATAATATACAAACCCGATATATGTATAAAAGAAAGGGGAGATTTTTTTTCGATAAGATTAAGAAAAAATAATTTATGAAAAGTGTTATTTTGTTATGTTAAATATCATAATAAAATCCAATAAAAAAATACATAATTATGCCACATTTTTCTTAATGTCCTAATCAAAAATATAGCTGCTATAGAAATATTACTATATATAAATAAGAAATTTTTAACACTTATGTTTACTACAAGTTTGTAAAAAAAAAAAATTTTTTTTAACACTTATGTTTACTACAAGTTTAAAGAAATTAGATATGTGCATGGTGGAAGAACCAAATGAAATATACATACATACATACATACATACATACATACATACATATATATATATATATATATATATATGTATGTATGTAGAAATTAATAAAGTATCTACTACGAGCTTATCAAAAAATAAGTTATTCTGTGTTCATTATGTTCATTGTGTTCGCATGTGAACAAAAAAGTGAACAAAAAAGTGAACATTCTTCATTATTATAGCCACCAAAGTTACCATTATCGCCAATAATAAAGCTATAAGGGTCATAGAAATAAGAACAATCATTATAATAAGGCGTAAATGGTGTAAATAGGTGTGTTTGATTAGAACTATAATCATAAGTTATCTCGTTATAAGATGGTACAGGCTCTGTTGATCCTTTTGGTTCCGCAGGTTCTATTGGTTTTATTAGAGGTTCTTGGTTAGGTTTCTTGGATTTTTCTTTTTTCACTCTAGAAGATTTATCATTTCCATATTCTTCATGATGCAAATGAGCAGCTTTAATAGCAAGTTCTTTATAATATTTTCTAACTATTTCAGGTTCTTTTTTCCATAATTCAGCAATGTGTTTTGAAATTTCAGTCATTGGATAAGTTCTTCCAATAGCTTTTAATTCTTCAACATAAGCTTTTCTGTAAAAGAACCAACCATTTGCAGCTTTTGTTTTTGCTTCTTTATTTTTTTTTCTTTTTGAAAAAATACGTTCATCAAATTTTGGAGGGAATGGTAATCTTTCTAAAGGTTCAACTTCATGATTCGGACGCAATTTTTTTTGTAATTCACGTAATAGTGCATTATCTTTTTCATTAGGTGCTGAAGGATTTTCTTCAAGTATAAAAAACATCATTGATAATAATAGATGGAAATAATTAATAAAAAATGAACCCCTCAACTTTTGAGTAATATCCAATAATTTCGGATAAGAATTTGATAAAGTAAAAAAAGTAGGTTATTTATTGAATTTTTTACAATGCTCGCATGGATTTACTTTAGGAAGTTAAACAATGCTATTACACAACATAGTATATTTTATTATAAATAAGGGAATTTATTCAGTTAACACTTCAAGAAAAGATCATCTAATCGTAAGGTATACGCATAAAGGAGCTTGTTTTCCGAAAAAAAACAACCAAATAAAAAAAAATTTTAAATAAAATTCTAAATGTATCAGATAAGAACCTTTTAAATTTTGCCAAGTGGCTTATGGAAATTTAGTAATCTGTTAGAAGTGTGTTGTTATGTTGACATATTTTGACATTTTTAAAGAAAGAAAAAAAGTTGTTAATTGTGATAATGCCAAAACCAAATTATTTGTAGTCATGTACCCCAGTAGGTTATATTGGAATAAAGTCTTTGTGCTCGTATACTCTTTAGGTTATATTGGACACGTGTTAATGTTCTTGGAATTAGTATAGTCTATGACCTCTTTGGATCGTTCTTTTTTTAAATGCGTTATAAAAAACACCTTATAATATTAGTAATCCGTATTTCTCACGAGTGTAAATATTTGCCTGGTTAGACGCGTTTATCATTATTAAATTGAAAAAGCTAGCATATATTTATAAAATTGTTTAAGTTTTTTCGATTAAAATGAATTATAGCAGAGATATTTCTTTATTATTATATTAAAGCTTGCTAATTGCTTTATTAATACATGTAAATTATTATATTAAAGCTTGCTAATTGCTATATTAATTCATGTAAATTATTATATTAATATATTGTGAACCATTACATATCATTATTTTTATAATCCGACGCCGATGGCGCTGATATCCGTGTATTATTCGCACTCGTCTGTGCTAAGATGAGGCTATGCTACAGTTAAGATGTTAGTCTAGTCTGCAGTGGATAAAATTTAAACCTTTACCTTAATTAGGCTTACAAATCACTATCTGTTACTCGGATATAAAATCCGCAAGTGCAACCTGTATTTAATTATCAAAAAAAAAAAAAAAAAAAGTATAAATAAAATAAAATAAAATAAAAAATAAAAATAAAATAAAAATAAAATTTTTTTTTAAACAATCAAAGAAAAAATTGTAAATAAAGTATATCTGGATTTTTTCTAATTAGGAAATTTTTTCAATGCAAGCCAAGTTTGTACATATTAATTGCGCCTCTGGGTTACTATTTAGATAATCTGATTTTTGCGGATAAGTGTATAACAAATAAAAATTAACAATACATTTACTAATTTTGGATTGTTAGGGTAATACGTACGTAGTAATTATCAGTAGTATCTTTAAAAAAGGATAGTGACATAATAAAAATCCGTAATCTTCTCAAGGTAAAGTACATTAATATGGATCACCATATCTTGTGAAATGTAATCTGCAGAAAACCAAATTTACTTTACTTACAACAATTAATCACGTAAAAGTTTTTTTTTTATTTCGCCAAATGAGTAAATTCATCTTATATTACAATTTATTTTGCAAATTAAAATTCAATTCACTAACTTGTTCATTTTTTTGATGAGTTTAGTTCGTCAGTCAAAAAGACTAATTTAATTCACTTTTTTGGCTTCGTGGCACACTTATAACTAATCTTTTGCTCTATGCATATTATTTATTTATTTTCGTATTTGATTTCTATTGACATAATAATCGATCTTTTCCGGAGAAAATGCTAGATTTTGCATTTATTGTATGTCTCTTTTTGGATTTTTCCAAGGTTTGAATTCTTTCATGTTTTGGTTTAGTATATATTTAGGCATACTATTTAGAGGTATCGGTATATTTAGGGTTTAGAAGAGGTTTTTTTGGGGTGTAGAACTTTTTTTTTTTAGAACACCACTATATGCGTTTTAGTAAATAGTGAAAATATTATTGGCTATGTGAAACTTTGATAAAGCGATAATGTGAACTCATCCGTTTATTTAATATCCTTATAAATATTATCTTATCTCTAAACTAGCAAGTTTAAGACTTACGTACAATAGACAACCCATTTGCCTAGATCTATATAAACATAAAGAATAATGCACAGGCCGTGCAGTAAATCAATCCGCAGGTTGCATTATTTGGATATAGCATTCATAATTTTGGTCATATAGTATAAAGATAATGCAGACCACTACGAATCTTGCGCTTTTCAAGTGTAGGATGAACAGTTGCGCATGAAATTTCCCTGTGTAGAACATCTACATCTGTTCTAGACCACTCAATGAATAGATCCAACACTTGTTTTTTTGGAACTTTTTACCAGTGTAATGGAAAGTTTGTGTCCTATTCCACAGCAGTATGTATCGTCAAACAAAAATTCCGCCGTTACCTTTATATATTCAGCATAATCAGTATCGGTATACTTTATAATCAGTATAATCAGTATAATCAGTATATCTTTATATATTCAGTATAATTAATATACTTTATTTATATGTTCAGTGTAATCAGTTATACTGACATCCCAACAAATCAAATGTGGGATCGTGGGATCGTAGGATCTAGTGTAATCCAAACAATATTTTTTTGGTTCATTATTCAACTAAAAAGTATCATGGATTTCTAGAAACTTTCATTGACAAAAATAACATAAATAAATAAAAACAGTGGCTTAACCAAACAATATCATTAGGAATGGGTAACAATATGTATCTTAGTGTAAGTTTGCAAAATCATGTAAGTTATTATGTAAGTTACAATATAACTTAAAAAATTTACCCTCATACGGAGTTTATAATTCTATTATCTACCGATGTTGTATATCATATGACAACTCGATTCTAAAGACACAGACACGTATGAAAAATATAAAGTATAATTCATACATCATTCTTTAAATCATTTTTTGATATAAATATATATTTAATAACTAATATCCCGGTAATTAATACCGTATTGTCTCGAAATAACGCCCGGGGTGTAGGTTAAAATTTTGGCCTGAATTAAGCTTAATTTAGGCCGAATTAAGCTTAATTCGGGCCAAAGTTTTAACATATACCTGGGGTGTTATTTCGAGACAATACTGTATCCCGGTAATGTAATATTCCGGTAATGTATATCCTGGTAATTACGGAATTTCTTTTTTTTGGTATGCATTCAATCGGATAAATTACCGTTTTTTTTTTTTATGCATTCATTGGATAAATTAATGTATTTTTTTCTTTTTATGCATCGGATAAATTAACGAATTTTTTTTTTTTGTTTAAGCAAGCTTCTAAAGTTCCATTTCAAATGCTAATACTGAACCAAAAGGAATTTCTATTCCGTATTTTTTTTTCATTATGCTGCTAAAATTAGTACGTTATCAATTAAGCTTAAATAATATATGCTTGATTTGGCAATATAAATCTGTAAACAAATTTAAAGTATGATACATAAATTGATATTTTTAATTTTTATATATGTGTATGTATATTTTGTTTAGTATATCTATTATTGCTAAACAATAAATCAATAATACCCATTCAATGTTTTGTCTAATTGAATATAGAAAATAATATGCTAAATAAAAATGATTAAACATGACTAAACGAAATCAAATGTTTCATCTTTTTGATAAATTACAATTATTAAACTAGTTATGTTTATTAAATATATTTTTTTTTTTTATTAATCCTCATTTGGCTTCATTTTCGTAATCTTTTTCATTGTCAACATATCTATCCTCTATCCTGTTTTTCATCAACATATCTAGGGTTGTTAATGGGTTTGGTTGGGTTAAGCAACTCCTCAACCCACTCCAGCTTGGGTTGGCTCACTCCGGAGCCACTCTAGGCTTGCTTAGAGCTGCTCCAGATTTTTAGGCATATCTTTAATCCACTCCAACTTGGGTTGGGTTCACTCCGGAGTGGTTCCGGAGTATGCCACTCCATTAACAACCCTAAACATATCTATCCTGTTTTTCATCAACATATTGGCTGCCGTCAATAGAAATCAGGTAGATTGACATTTAAAAAAAAAATCAATACCTTACCTTTTACTGTTCATATCTTGATGAAT